TATATATATATATATATATATATATATATATATAATTCACACTGAATTATTTTAAAGCATAAAAAATCTAGCTTCGACCAATATAGTTTATCGATTGTGTTTCACACATTACAGTTTAAAATAATATTTTTTTTGTATTCTACAAAAGTTACAGATTTTAAATGATACATTCTATTATATTAGGTGTATAACTTTGCTTCCGCCGTTTTTTTTCCGAAATTCGAGGCTTTATTGTAAAAAACTGGTTATATACATTTATGATTCAAAGTATTGTCCATCGCTGACCTACTTTCTCTCATCTTTCGGACAGCGTATAAATCTCGCGTCGAAAAAACTGGTCATCTTTTGAGGCGATCCACGAATCAATCCAATTTTTTACTTCTTCATAAGACCGGAAGTGCTGATCAGCCAGGCCGTGTGCCATTGATCGAAACAAGTGATAGTCAGAGGGAGCAATGTCTGTAGAATACGGTGGGTGGGACTTTCCATTTCAACGTTTCCAAGTATGTCTTGACCACTTTCGCAACATAGGGTCGAGCATTGTCATGCTGCAAAATCACTTTATCGTGTCTCTCGTTGTATTGCGGCCGTTTGTCTTTCAATGCTCGGCTCAAACGCATCAATTGCGTTTGATACCGATCGCCTGTGATTGTTTCAGTCGGTTTTAACAGCTCATAATACACTATGCCGAGCTGGTCCCACCAAATACAGAGCATGACCTTGGAGCCGTGAATATTTGGCCGTCGACGTGGAAGCATGGCCGGGAACTTCCCATGATTTTCTGCGCTTGAGGTAATCGTAATGAACCCATTTTTCGTCTCCAGTCACAATGAGATGCAGAAATCCTTCCGTCTTTGCCTTTCAAGCAGCTGTTCACAAGCAAACAAACGTCGTTTAATATCTCTCGGCTTCAACTCGTATGGCACTCAATTTCCTTGCTTCTGAATCATTCCCATGGCTTTGAGGCGTTTTGAAATGGCTGGTTGAGTCACTCCCAATGATCGTGCCAATTCTTTTTGATTTTGACACGAGTCTTGATCAAGTAATACCTCCAATTCTGCATCTTCGAAAATCTTCTCTCTTTCACCGCTATGTCGGTCTTCGACGTCAAAATTTGCCGTTCTTGAAGCGTTGAAACCACTCACGACGTTCTTTGACTAACAGCGGTCTTACCATAAGTATTTGAGAGCATTCGATGAGCCTCAGCCGCAGATTTCTTCATATTGAAGCAGAAAATTAAAACCTCCCGCAAATGACGAGAATTTGGCTCGTAAATTGACATTTTCAATCGAGAATAACTTTATGATGCAGACACAAATCGACTAATGTTTCTATGGTGTTATGTTGACAGATGCCCAAGTTTATTGTATGACGTCTATGATCTATTTATTTCGACCATCACTTACAACTAAAGCCATCTATAGGAAAACGACGGAAACAAAGTTATTCACTTATATTTTTCAGACAAACTCTCACAAAAGATCCGCATAAATCTTATGGGAATTGAATTTTGGTCGAATTGACTGAAAATTTCATATGTTGTAAATTTTGTGCTGATAAAAAGTTTCCACAGGCACGATTCCCTATAATGAATAGTTTCACTTTTACGAGGTGTCTTTTTTTAAAACGAGCTAATACTATTAGGTGTTGGAATTAATTCGTAGCGTTTTACAAGTGATGGGAAGTACTTTCATTAATGTATTTTTTAATGCTCATGTGAAATAAATAACATTCTTTCATTAAAAAACGCTACGAATTAATTCCAACACCTAATATAATATCTTATTTTTAATGAGTACAGTGCATTCCTATGTCATTATTTGCAATTTTTGTATATATTTTTAAGTAAAAAAATGTTATAAGGATAATGTTGAATTGATTGCTTCTTATAAAAAAAGCTACATTAAATCTCTAATCTATCGAGATCGATAACTTGATTTTAGAGATTTAACCATCTCGATTTATGAGAAGCAAGGGAACTCACAATAATCAAGCACGTATTGTGAGAACCAATTAATACTATCTTTATAATTCTTTACTTAAAAATAAAAATAGAAAATGCAAATAATGACATAGGAATACACCGTACTCGTTGAAAATAAGATATTGTAGTATTAGCTCGTTTAAAAAAATGAATCATAGAAATGCAACGGTTCATTATAATCGTGCCTGTGGAAACTTTTTATCAGGACAATAAGATCTATAAAATTTTCAGCCAATTCGACCGAAATTCAATTTCCATAAAGTTTGTGCGAGGTCCTTTTTTGCACCAGGACAGTGTGTAATGCTTATACATGTATAATTAAAAACTTTTTATAGAGATATTAATAATGGATCACTATTTCTTCTAAAATAGAATATTGCTTGTAAGTCAATGTTATAATGAATAGATTAGAATCACCAAGAAAGTAATAACGATTTTGTAATAGTCGCGTTTAGCAGAATGTTTATTTTGTAATTATTGGAAATTTTCTTCACCCTGATTGGATTATATCTTCAAATCTAAAAGTATAATCCAATGAGCGCGAAGAAAACTTTCAAACAGTAGGAAAATAAACATTCTGTTGAACGCAACTAATGTAAAAATTATTTTTCTTTTCTCTTGGGACTTTCTTTTGTCTTATAAATTTGATTTGTAGTATTTCACTTACACCTCATAATACAAATTTGTTTTCTGAGTAGAAGATGTAAGACGTGCACGTAATTGCTGTTATTATTGCTGTTGAAATAACTGTTAGGAGTACACATTAGTTCGGTTCATTTTTTTGTGTTCAAAAATGTATTTATTTCAAAACAAAATGAATGAACAGATTAATTATTGTCCATCGCTGGCTACTACTTTTCCCCATCTCTCAGGCAATTTTCGAATTCCATCTCGAAAAATGACTCATCTTTGGAGGCGATCCAATTTTGGAGCCAATTTTCGATTTCTGCGAAAGAAGTGAACCGATGACTTGCCAAATCGGGCTGCATCCTTCGGAACAACCATAATCAGAAGGAGCAATGTTCGGAGAATATGGCGGGTGCGGTAAAACATCCCATTTGAGCGTTTCCAAATATTTTTTTACGATTTTAGCGACATGAAGCCGAGCGTTGTCATGAAGAAAAATAACTTTATCATGTCTTTGCTCGTATTCCGGACGTTTTTCTCGCAATGCTCAAACGAATCAATTGTAGCCGATATCGATCGCCCGTAATGGAATTGCCAGGTTTTAGCAGCTTATAGTAAACAACACCCTTTTGGTCCCAGCAGATACAGAGCATGATCTTTGAACCATGAATGTTCGGCTTTGTGTTGATGTTGAGGTCGATGGTAACGATTGACCGGGCTTAGCGTAGTATTTTTTCTTCTTGGGGTTATCGTAGAATACCCACTTCTCATCTCCAGTCACAATCCGATGCAAAAAACCTTTTCTTTGTTGTCTTTGAATCAGCTGTTCGCAAGTGAAAAATCGCCTTTCAACGTCTCTCGGTTTCAGTTCATAAGACACCCAATTTCATTGTTTTTCAATTATTCCCATGGCTCTCAATTGTGCAGAAATGGCTTGTTGAGTTACTCCCAATAATTCTGCAAGCTCCTCTTGCGTTTGACTCTGATCTTCTTCGAGTAATGCCTCTAATTCTTTGTCTTCGAATTTTTTTGGCTGTCCAGAGCGAGACTTGTCTTCAACGCTGAAATCTCCATCCTTGAAATGTCGAAACCATTCCCTACATGATTTATCAGTTGGAGCAGTGTCACCATAAACTTCGACAAGCATTCGATGGACTTCAGCTACACTTTTCTTCCAATTAAAGCAAAAAATTAGAACCTCCCGCAAATGCTGCTTGGTTAACACAAAATTTGACATTTCAAACACAGTAAAAATCAATTTTTTTAAATCAGTTTTTGTATGAAACTTAAAGCGATATAAACTGAATATTATTAGTAGATGTCTAACCTCTCTGAAAACGCCAAAATCTGTTGTCACTATGAACCATTCACAACAGCCGAAGCCAGCTTTTGGAAAATTAACCGAACTAATTTGTACTCCCAATATATACGTAAAGTATAAGACATATAGCGTTTTCGAATATCGTTTTTTATTTTATTTCAGGCATTGAGGAAACTATTAAACTTGTTCGGGCGGCCGGAGGTACGTGTTATGGCTACGTTTGCGACTTGTGCGATCGGACAGACATATATAAAAAGGCCAAAATTATCAGGGAAGAGATCGGCAAGGTAAACATAATTGTAATAATTTTGCAGATTGGCAAGTAACGAATTATTTGTAACGCTGTTACCTTGTTATAATAATTATTTGATAATGAGACATGGAATGAGACGTGAATTTTTTATGACGGTAATGCCAACATCGAAGTTAGAAAAGGCAATTACTTGTAATGGGTTGAAAAAGTCATTCGTTACTAAAAAAAATAATTCCTAATTTGTAATGTGTTACTTTTTTTCTTGTTACTTTTTTTAAGTAACTTTTTTTAGTAATGGTGACAAGTTACTTTTCAAAGTGATTTTTCTAACCTTAGTACAACCTTAGCGTTTAATTAGTTAGCGTTATCATCATAAAAAATTGCAACATTGTCATCAAATTGTTTACCATAAAAAGTAATGACAAAGTAATTAAAAAGTAAAGTTTGCCAACTCTAGTATTTTGATAATGATATTGTTTTATGAAAGACTGAAATTATTCTAGTTTAAATAAGTATAAATGTACTACAAATATAATGGTATCATCGCGTTTGTCACGTTCACGAAAAGTTATATCGAGTTAAAATTATTCCATTAATTATTTAGTAAAAATTATTCTATTAATTATTTAGTAAAATTAATCGAATAAAATTAATCGAAAATATGTTTGCTCGAAATATAATGTCGAAAGACAAATCGGTCGAAGGTTCTTCTCTTATTTAAAAATTCGCTTATTATAAATTATAATATCAATGCATTTAAGCGATGCGTTCCGAGTTATGCATGAAGCGCATGATGCATCTTGTTGTTTACCAAATAATAAAGAAAAATAAAACGATACTTCATGTGCTTTATGTAACTCGGAATCCACTTTAAGATTATTTTTTTGTTATTAGTTTTGATTTATATCGCGATCGCGTTTGACAACATGAGTAGCTTATGAATGCTTGGACAGCATTAAAGCGTCTTTTTAGGAAACGAATTATCTGCGATTAACCAATTTATTCATCGCGCGATGAGAACTTTTCTGCGGACGATATTATGAAATTATTTATGTTGCGCTATAGTATTGCGATACGCTGGACTCGATATGTGAGTCCGACCTATTTTAAGAACTGCGAAAAACATGGCTTTTTGTCATTTTAGATGTGCCTCTGACATTTTGCGTTTAGAAGTATAGTATGTATTATGCATACTCTCTAATCGTTATTTTCACTTGAGTGCAAAGTATTTATTTCTTTCAAACACAAAAAAAATTCATACAAGCTTGAAACAACACTTTCAATAAAAAATAATTATTTTTTTAAAATTTATTTATTTTACTTACAATTAAATAATACATTATAGGTAACGGTTCTTATCAATAATGCGGGCATTGTTACGGGAATGAAATTTCTGGACACTCCGGACGAACTTATTATCAGGACGATGGATGTTAATATCATGAGCCACTTTTGGGTAAGTAGAAAGTCATACTTTGCACAAAATTATTCCAATCGCTGAAGTAAATTATCTCGTGTTATTTATATTGGTATCGAGAAATTGAACGTCGATATAGCGAATGTGATTTCATTTATTGCGAAATTTTTTGAAATCTGAATTATATCAATTACTATTTGGAATAATTTGAAAATTTTTTTTAAGGCGAAGAAAGTAGAATCGAAATATTGTCGAGATATTACGAAAAGAGGTTTTATTTGTTCTTAGTCTTTCGCGCATAGATTTTGCAACAAATCATTGATTGCGAAATGGTTGAATCGATCGAAATATGCGACTAATATTTTTAATTATATGATTTATCACAAATCCATAAATTGAGTTCGAATTCAAGAAGTATCGCGAGCTGCCGTCTCATTCGATTATCCAGGAGAATCAACGGAGAAAGGCATTCCATTTCGTTTCTCCCGTTTATTGCCGTGGTCAGGTGCAAGAACCGGTCAAATAGGTTGTCGACGAACAAGCGGTGCTGTAGTATACTGTAGCATAGTCTGTGTGTTGCGACACGCATGAGCTAGCGGCACGCTTGCTAAACACAAATAATTCCTTAATTCGAATTCTTACTTAATCGATGATCTACTCACAGACTTTCATTCGTTTTGAATCGTTGTAAAATGTAATTACGTTGATTTTACTTTTGTGCATATATTGTATTCACTCGATATATTATTACTCATTATTACTTTATGCTTCTCACAATACATCAAAATTAAATATTTCAATCATAATAATTGCCATATGAGTATTATATTGCGTAATATATTCTCGATAATTTCTCTGCAATTTTTTTGTAATATTATTCTTGTACAGATAGTTCGTAGAACTACTTAATTAAAATTTGCAAAATATGTTTGCAAAATATGATTTATCAGTCTTAATTAATATAGTAAATGTGTTCATTTACAAGAGCGGCTTAAAAATATATAAGATAAAAAATAAAATGATATTAAGACCGATCCATAGTCGATTCTTATGTTTGAAACTATCCTAAGTACAATTTTAATTACAAATCAATCAGAGAATTGTATTAGCATTTTAAGTATTAAAAAGGTCTTGAAATAAAAAAATATATACCTGTCTGAATATATAGGAAATATTTAAAAAATCGATAAATATAAGAACAATATTATATTAAGAGAAAGTCAAGAATAATACATAGATGCACGTATATGTATATTTTAATTTACACGTAAATATCTTGATTCATATTGGCATTATTTAATTTGATTTAGGCTCGATTGTTCTACCTTTTGATAAATTTTACCTGTTGATTAAGTAGCAAGATTATTCAATTACATACACGGATTGCCAGCTTTACATAACAGATAAAATTTAAAAAGGTGGGACAACTGGCCATTAATCACTTGAGCCTATTTTATTTATGTTTACATAAAAACGCTACGAATTAATTCCAACACCTAATACATATATGACATATATTGACTTTTATATATATTTAGATTAGTATTTATATTTCTTAATTTAAGATCTTGTTAAGTAATGTTTTAAAGATGCTAATATAGTTCTCTGATTGGTTCATGACATCTTAAGATTGCACTTCAGATTAAACTTAAAAAAGATTTAAATATATACATAAGCATATATATAATTAATACAGGATGTCCCGAATTTTTTTTAAATGTCGAAACTTCGTTGCACGCACGCACGCACGCATGCACGCACGCACGCACGCACGCACGCACGCACGCACAGGATATTTAATAAGTAACGATAAAATTCTAGTATAGAGATAGAATATAAACTGAGTTCTCTATCATTTTATAATTTTCGCAATATTTAATAAAATATTAATTACTAAAAATCGCTGAATATTTGTTTTCAATAATTTTTTATTCAAGTACTATCAACTTTACAAAAAAACAAAGTAATGAAAATTGTTTATTTTTTTTTTTATAGAATTCTGAAAATTTTTTCAGAATTGTTTAGTACCGCATTTTCTCATGTTAGAAAAATAGTTGCTAATAAGAAAATGCAGTACTAAAAAGTTAATAAAAAATCCTGAAAAAATTCTTAGAGTTCTATGCAAAGAAAATTTTTGTCTCTTACCGTTTTTCTGTAAAGTTAACAGTACTTGAGTAAAAAATTATTAAAAACCAATATTTGATGATTTTTAATAATTGACATTTTGTTAATTATTGCGAAAATTGCAAAATGTGAAAGAACTTTTTGATTCATTGTCAGTTTAGTCCTCTACGATATCCCTATATGAGAGTTTTATCGTTACTTATCAAACACCCTGTATATTATTTGTATATATGTACATATTATACGTGTATCCAGTAAACGAGAATGGATTGAAATGAATTAAAAATTACAATTCATTTTAATTGATCCGAATTTGTGCTTTAGAGCCTGGATTGAAATTAATTGATGTCTGAGAGCATAAATTCTTCGTAAATATTTTAATTTTATTATAATTCTTTATTTAGATAGATACTTAATAGAACAGCACTTTTATATTGATTTCGATCGAAACAAAAATATTCTTATTCCATATTGTATTCGGATATAAAATAATTCTGGGCTTATATATTTCTGTTATAATTTTTTTTATTGAAATAAAAGTGCGTATTTTCATAATTTTGAACTATGATGTATTCACAGCTTACAAATTAGCTATGTTGAATTTTTTTTAATGGAAATGAATTAAAGATTAAGAATTAAATTATTGAGACTTATGTTTATTGAGTTCATGTTTATAATTTTGAACTAGGATGTATTCATTAAGTACTTATTTACTACATAAGTACTTTGGATATAAATGGGTAGAAATATAAATGTCCTATTCATCATATTGAATTGGATAATTTACCCTTGAGAAAATTTTGCTTTTAACGAAGTTAAAGTTTTTAAAGTAATTAAGAATTTATTAAAAAAATTTTGAGGTATTTAAAGTCTGTAAAAGATTAAGCCAAAATAATCTAAAATTTTTAAATAATCGGCACAGAGTATTAGTTCCTTTCCTTTTTAGTTGTTCTTAAGTAGTTTTGAAATTATTTAAAAAAAAAAGTTTAAAATGTTCAAATTTACCTTTATTTCTTAGGTTTTTCTCTATAGTCAATTTTAAGTATTTTTTTAAGTTTTCTAAAGTAAATTCTCCTAAGGATTATTGTATTATTTTTTGATTGAAATGAATTAAAATACGAAATAAGCTATTAATCGTGTTAAATTTGAATGTATTTATGTCTATATTATATTAATTTTTGATTGAAATGAATTAAAATACAAAAGAGCTATTTATTATTATATGTTGAAATTAGATGTATTCATGGATTCGAAAAATCAAAAGCGCGAATTCGAAAATGTCAAAATAAATTAATTTCTATTCATTTAAATTTATTCTCGTTTACTGGGTATATTATACACATTCATGGTATATGTGTTATATATATTTTTATATTAAAATATGAAATTTATAATTTTATAATTTAAAATATGAAATATTTTTGAAATATTTCATATGTATTGGAATATTTCTGAAATATTTCATGCTATATGGGAAAAATAACAATTTACTAATCAGTAGATAGTGTTCCTAAAATGTATTTTTAATATACATATTTAATATTATAAAGATATTGAATAAATATCAAAAATAGAGGAAAGCCCGCTATTAAAAAATAGATTCCTAATATGAGGTAGCGACGTTTCCGCTAAACTAATAAACGCTATCTATTGGTTCCACCATGAATTTATTGTTTTTGGATTGAAAACTGTTTACTGGAAAATTTATTATTAGATCATGCCTGTCGTTACAAAAAAAAATTTTAGAATTTAGATATCTTCAAGTTTCTTTGAGATGAGCTTTTAAACCTTGTTTATTATTTAATAAGTAAAATATTTGGCAATAAATCTTCATGTGGTAATAGAATAAGATCGTACTAATAGAAAAATATTTGATATGTTGAATTGCTTAATTACAGAAGTTAGATTTGATAATCATAAAATCGTAAGGCGTGGAAATCGTAATGAGATACCCATCATATTTCTAATATGAAATAACTTGTTCTTCTATATTATAGTGAAAATCGTTGCTAAAGTATAAATGTAATTATACAATAATAAAAAGGATAATCGGAATAAACAGTGCTAGTTTCTGCGATGCTTGGTTCCAACTACCTGAAGACGAATCAGCTAGGTACAATGCATCGCATATTCATTCATTGTGTACGCGCACTGGCTGTGTTTATTTGTATTTTGGAAACATTAAATAAAGTTTTTTAATCGCAATACTGATGTACTTTGTGTTTTATTATCGATTTCTTGGAACATCATATTAGAAGCACAATTTTTTTACTTTGCGATTTGTTCACTTTTTACATTTTTTTAATTTATAAAAAAAAAAGAAATTTAAATTAAATTTTACATAACATTATCTTAAAGCTTACTAAATTCCCTTCAAAATGACCTATTTTTTATATATACCTTTTTTTATATATAATTATATATATTAGGTATACAAATAAGTTTCCACCGTTTTTTATCAAAAAATTAAGCATTTATTGTGAAAGAACGATACATAACGTTTTATTGAAAGTATTGTCCATCGCCATTACTTTTTCCCATCTTTCTGGTAGCATACAGATATCGCGTTGGAAGAACGCTTCATCTTTTGAGGCTATCCAATTATCGATTCAATTTTTGATATCTTCATATGATGTGAAGTGCTGCTCAGACAGGCCATGCGCCATCGATCGAAATAGATAGTAATCGGAAGGGGCAATGTCTGGTGAATACGACGAGTGGGGTAGAACTTCCCAATTGAGTGTTTCCATGTAGGTTTTGACCGGCGCCGCAACATGTGGTCGAGCATTATCATGCAGGAGAATAATTTTGTCATGCCTGGAGTAGTAATGGGCGCGTTTTTCCTTGAGTGCTCAATCTCATCAATTGTGTTCGGTAGAGAGTCCCAGTAACGGTTTCGTTCGGTTTGAACAACT